TTTTTTAAGTGTTACAGTGATATTTCGTTGGCCTCCGTATTAGCGCACTGCGCCGAACGCGGATAACATGATGTTGTAGTCGCAATAGAGCAATTGAATCGAATAGACGTATTGTACCGTAGCGCATCGTATTGTATTTCAAACTTTTATATCGTATATTCCAATAAACATACGTCAGGTAATATAAGCTTTATTTACAATCAGTACAATCATATACGAATTATAGTTGTCTGGTTCAACAGGTTTCTACAGAAACTAACTACTGACGCTTGTGCGTGTCCCGTGAGCAAATTATATAGTAACCCCAGCAACCATGGCAGTTTCTGCAGATACTACTACAGTCTAAGTTTAAAAGACGTAGGCAGTAGTTAGTTTCCGTAGTAAGCCAAAGACCCCGTGTGGTGAGATCGTGGGGTCACAGAGCCCCCTGTGGAGGCGCCACTCGCTTCATCCCTACCATAAATAAGACGCGCAGTTTATTACTATATATGTCTATGCCATGCTCACCATGTGATTTTTAGCATTGTTAATGAGGTTATAGGTACAATGACTATGGATTACTTTTGGTGATATTCATCAAAATAAGCACCAGTTTGTTTGTATGTATTGATTGTTAGTGATAATCAAAATGAAATTCTTCACTAATTCAGCAAAATCCGTCGCTCGTATTGGTACATTAACCAACTTCGAAAGGATTCCTACAATTAGTTTCGAAACTCCTCTTGCCCTTATTTATACGAAGGTAATAGTTTTAAGTCTAAAAAAAGCAAAATAAAATTCAATTGGAAGTTCATTCATTTTAGGGAGGAAGTGTACCACATTTAACCAAAGATGTTTTTAAAATGGTCACCACAGATCCGCAACTTCTGTCTGTTTCATTACCTTCTACTCTTATAATGACTGAAGCAATGAAAGAAGCTAATATTAGTTTTTCAAATTTTGTTAGTATGCAGGTGTGTTATAGTTCTTTTGCAGTCTCTATAATATTACTCTTATACGTTACAAGTTAACTGACAAGTACTTTTATTTTAGGAACACATAAATATGTTAACAATTCATGATCCAGCTGATCTTACACCTTCAGGGCATCAAATGCTTGATACCATTCCTGTCTGGCCTAGATCTGGCAGAATCCAAATGTCAGCTAACAAGTATATGGATCTTGTTGAAACATTTAAACCTGACTGCTATGTTGCCTTATGTGATGGGGACACTAACATTGATAGTAGCAAAAAAAGATCTGAAAATGCAGTTAATCGTAGTAAAACACTGTTTGAGCAATGTTTATCCAGGCATACTGCTTCAGAAAGTTTAAAATCAACAGGAATATTAGGTGCTATTGAAGGAGGCTATAATGTCGATGCTAGATTAGCATCAATAGATTATTTAAAAGATAAACCTGTATTAGGATATGTGATAGACGGATTGCATAATAATGGACCACTTGTACACAGTATTACATCAGAACAAATTAAGCAAATAGTAGAACAGGCTGTGGTAAGTTAAGAATTCATTGTTCTATACAAATGCTTACTAAAATAAGTAGCTATTTCAGAGTTTGTTACCTTCTGAAAAATTGAAAGTATCAATGGGATGCTGGAATCCACCTACAGTGTTAGATCTTATTGAACTAGGTATAGATGTATTTGATACATCGTATCCTTATGTAGCTGTAAAGAATGCAGAAGCATTAACATTTTTATGTGATCATAATACATGTGGTGACGTATTGGAGGTGATATCGTTTAGAGACATAAGGTAACGTGCAATTAGCTGAATGTCAAACTTGTAACTACATATTACATATGTATACTAATTATCGTTTTATGGTAGATATGAAGAAGACTTTTCTCCAATATGTTCTCATTGTGAATGTCTTACGTGTAAAAATCACACTAGAGCATATTTATACCATTTACGAAATACCAGGGAAATGCTACTTGACGTGTTGTTAATGATGTATGTTTTCTTTTATGTAATTTGTATTTCAACTTGTTCTTTCACCTGTGTAAATATTTATATGGATTTCTATTTCCAGACACAATATTCATCACTATCTAGAATTCTTTAAAGCTATTCGAGAGAATATAAAAAGTGGCACTTTTGACGAGTTGAAGCAAAAAATTAATTTAAAATTTGAAAACTTTGGCATATTGGAATCGTGTAAAGTTGTTGTTGCGGAAGAACTAAAATCTTCAAATACATAATTCATTTTTATAAAAGTATTATTAATTTATTATTCATTTATTTCCCATTGTACTTAGAAGAACAATTGTAGAATTAGAAATTTGCCAAAGTAATAATTATTCGGGTAAAAAATTCGGATCCAAATAATTATAAGATGAGTTACTAAAATTTTGTGGGCAGTAATCTAAGTCGTAACTTCTGCTATACTGTGGCGGTTTTATAGGAATTAATCTATGCAATGGATCGTGTAATGGATTTTCAACTTCTAGTTGCGCTACTGCACAATCACCACATAAATCCATTCCATCCTGACATTCTACACAATGCCATCTTGTACCTGTTAAAGGTTCTTCTTCACACAGAGAACACTATAAAAAAATAATTATGGATAAAATAAGTTATTCTAATTAAAAAAAAAAAACAATTTATGTACCTTATATCCAACATGTTTATATGCAGGAAAAGAACTTTCTTCTTTTTCGGCTTTCACTTGTCTCAATAATTCTATATGTCTTAATTCAGGATTATCTTCAATAATACTGTTTCCAGCATCATCCTCCTATAGACATTAACAATATAATACTCCAATTTACATTTTTGTCATTGTGTAGAGTTACATAAATACATACAGATTCATCTGCAAGTAGTTGTTCTTTACTTTCATCAGGCAGCGTGAAAGACATGTCCTGATGTGGAAAGAATGTAGATCTCCTGAACAATGAGTAGTTATTACGTTGGTGCCTGTGACCCACTCCTTTCTTAGCATCCAATTTTACTTTAGGACCTCTACCAGGTATAGGTAGACCGGCTCTCAAGAGTTTAATAAAGTATTTCTGAACTCTACTAGACACTTGTTTTGGGGTTCTATTACCTATTAAATAAAATAAAATGAATCAACACATTGAAACAAGAAAAGCTTTATCAATAATGTACCTAAAGCATTAGCTATTTTAGTCCATCGTCTCATTTCTACTTCTTCTGGTGGGTATTCGATTAAAAGTTCTTCTAATCTTCTCTGTTCTTCGACAGTCCATAATTGATTAAAGGTTTCTGGTTTGCTTTCATCAAACGCACGTCCTCTTACTAAGATCTAAGTATTTTAAACCAAAGAATGTTTCAAATATAAAAGAATATTTCATTCGGTATATGAACTATCAGTGAAAGTTAATTCAAAGATTTAATACATTAAAAGACAGTGTACCTTTCCATTATCTTGTTCAGTCTTTGTTGATATTTGTGGCAACACATGACCATGTCTGGTTTGCGGCCTCATACGCATATCTGGCACAGCAATATTATATTGTGACCAGTCAATATAAGGGATTTCTGCGATTTTCTGGGGTCCCGGTAGTTCCGGAAGCTCACCATTCTGTATTTGTGCCACGAAGGATATTGGGTCTTTCAGTGCTTTAGAACGAATGGACAGAAGTTTATCCAAATCTTCGATAGCTTGAACACGTTGCGCTTCCAGAATTACGATCGTTTTCAAAAGAGTAGTGTAATCCTTATTTCCCTTTAGGGCTAGGTGGTCCGACTCGAAATAAAACTCACTGGGTTCTTCGTCCTGGCATTTCTTCTCCTCATCCTCTTCCATCGTTAATCAACGTTACTTGACAGGTTATATGTCGTGTGTCCAGTGTAACGCCGTAACCTACATTATTTGTCAAAATAAACCGAGCGACCTGCGAAATGGGCTATCAAATAGAATCAGCATACATTCACCATTTGTGAGTGAATTTCACACTCGACAAAGAACGACTTATTGTAAAAAGGAATGTCAGACTGAATTGATGGAACGAATTCACGAAACCATCTCAACACACATGTTCTTGAATTGGAATGACACGTGTTCTGGACGTTCATTCAAACATTATCTCATACTGAGATAAAGCAGATATTACAGCGCGCATTCTGAAGTTTTTATTTGCGATCCTAATCCTAAATTAATTTCAACGCACTTGATTGTTACTTTACTATCGGTACAGATACGCGTAAGCCAGATATACATGAAAATAAATTTCAGTCTCGATCGAACAATGTCAATATCAGTGATCCTTGTTGTTCACTAACTTAACTTAATCCGCGCAAATAATATTTCGATACATTTTACTTGTATATATAGGTTTCATTGTATATACAGGTCATAACAATATCTACACTTATTCAGAACTGGAAGCGTGCACTGTCTTACATTTAATTTGTATTAGTGTATTAAAAAAAATGCAAAACCCAGTGTTTTGAGACCTGATTCAAGATTCCATTCATCGATACTTCCAATGTATATTGTAATTAATAAAAATAAGTTTAAGAAACGTATTTGGAACAGTTAATATAAAAAAATGGAGGACCTTTTAAACCTATCCAAACTACCTCGGACTTTGATCAGAAAGTTTTTATAGTCAAAGAAAAGAAATGTAAGTAAATTTAGTACAACTTTTTATAGACTGCAATGTTTTTTCAGTTTGTTTTCAATTCTGGCACATTATCGTAAAAAGTATATAAATTTAGCTGCAGCATGAACCCAAGGATTGACGATAGAACGAATCGTTTAAAAGAATAATTTTACGTAACTTTTGGATTTAACAGCAATAAAATTAATCGAGGTAATCGAATCCAATGAACGTAAAGCCATGAACATTCGAGATTTAAACTTTTCCTTTCCATTCGATGATATATTTATGTACACGTACTTAGTAAACAATGCATTCACGACGAAATAGCATACGATAACGTAATACTTGTCTTTAAACCTTGCCCTATCGTCAATCCACCACGCAAATGTGAGTTCGATAAACCAGAATGACGCATGTCGCTACTGCGAAGAATGGTTCCTCGAGTTAAATGAACGGCGAAGAGGCAGGATGGGAATAAAAAATGAAAAAGACATTGTACAAAAGATATTGTTTCCCGTCCAATTACCATCGTTTCACGTAGATTCGGCTCTGATCCAATCTACTATCGTATCGAGCGTACCTTTTCCTGACAAAAATCTCCTAACTACACTCTGAAATATTCGGCAGATGACCGGTTCGTGATTCCGTCATCTCCCTCCATGTTTACGGGCCCCTCGTTTTACACTTAATAGTTTAATTATTACCGAAGAAATTTCGTTCGAATGAAATTCAACGATGAATCAATCACACTTCTCAAATGTGTTGTAACACAGTGCAATAACATTCACGAAAATGATAAAATTTTGTAAATTTCCGTACAAAAATCGACGATTCTTACTCACTTTTTCTCCGCACAGAGCTAAATGATTCGATTTCTAAGAGGCTCGTATACCGTTCCTAAGAATATTTGCTAGAAAGGGTCCCAGTAAGTCCCAAGCAAACAGTCCATTTGACGCCCCATATTATTCACGCGGTGGTTATTCATCGTTCGGAAGAGGGTACACAGATCGTGGTGAGTCTACTCAGTTAGCCACCATAATTATCGTTAGTTATCTTTTCAAACGATTACCCAGATTCACGTGCTTTCCCCTCCGTGAATTCGTCAGCGACGCTTCGGCTGCCGATCGTCAGATTTATCGGCAACAACGAACGACGATGCCACGGTGCGCGGAGTACCCTTATCAGAAGGAACCATCGTTCAGCCCGTAAAAATAAGCGACTAGCTGACCCGTTAACACTTCAGTCTCGTTCTGGACATCTTACGATAAGGTCACACCGCTGTCTTCGATCTGGCACGAGGAAGCCAGCCGATTCGTCGTGTGTCAGCCGTAGACCCGCCAGCCGATCGAAGGCGGCCTAGAAAAAATCGGCCAGCTGGTCCGACGATGGACCTTTGAGTTCACGGATCGTTTGCCATTTCGGTGAAAAATCGGATAATCGTCGGGTGTTAACCGATTCCGACGACGAGAGATCCCGGGACAACGTCGGACGAAAAATGGGCCAAGACGAGGAACAAGGAGGCGAGAAGATCGCGCTGAAGCGGGAGCTTGGACTGTTCAGCGCCGTCAGCATCATACTGGCTGTCATGATCGGTATGAAAATATTTCACGGACAAGCAGGTTCCGTTTAAATTTCACGATTGATACTTTGAACTTTTTATCGTAATCGTGTTTTGTGAGTACCGCGACGGAAAACGAGTGTTACCTTCCGTTGGGACACGACACCTGAAACGGACTAATTTCTGATTACAGATAATGCGTAGAAACGAACATATGGATAAAAATTAAATTTAAAAATATTCGATTGTAAAATCAATCAAAACTTTTACACGCTGTTTCTATTAGTTAACTATCAATCGACTAGAATTACGATCATCACTTAACAAAGATCATATTGCCTGCTCCTCATCCGCCCGAATGCTCCCACCCCCTTCGTTTCGTACCATTTTCATGAATTTACGTAATCAATTACTGGTCTCTATTGGAATGATTACCAACGCGTTTAACGCATCAACCGAAGGTGACAGAATACAGTTCTTAGGTTTTCTCGACACCGAACGCTTACGTAACGAAGCTTCGGTTCCTCCGGTGCGAAGCGTTCGAGCGGCAAACGGGATCGCGTATGTGAAAATTTCGTGTAGAATTCCGAGGACGATAGGTCTGTCTAGTCTGGGGGATATTATTTAACCAGTCAGTGACGCAAGAAATGCTAAGTGACCAGTGTGTATCGCATATTAGCCGATTATTCGAGGCGCGGAGTCACGTGGCCGAACGCGACGCGAAAATTACGCGCGGGAAAACAATTATTTAATTTTCAGACACACACGTGCCGGCAGTGCGTTGTCGTCGTCGTCGTGTTCTGCAACAGAAGATCGATGAATCGACATAAGTTCAGCCCGCGGTAACAGGACCAGACTGTCTAAATTCAATTAACCTTTCGACGTCGAAACGCGTCACGGATCTTCTCGGTGGCCGGTATTCCCGGGGAATATTTCATTCTCCTTTCGTTCTGTCAATACACACTGGCGATACGATCGATCGAACATGACGAAATATGTACATCTCTCTTTGTGTACATACCGCTGCCCCGACCAGTTACATATTGGATGTAGATAACGGCTCGTTACGAGCGGTGTTTATCTTGCGGTAGACGGCCAGTTTAAATGATTCAATGTAGTAATTAGCCATCGGGAATACCGTGATATTTGTTGGTGTCGAATAAAAGGGACACGATTGCGTTTAAGAGCGGTATAATAACGAACAAAGATGATCATCTTCAATAGGGATTCAAAGAGCGTGTGTCGGCGAGTTCTCTCGGTGGTGCTCTTCCGTTTGATCGCGGATTGATTTTCGGGGCTGTGTAACTTTACGGGTCTTCTACGAATTCGGATAATACAGTGGATCTTGGTCTGTTTGTTTTCGTCGACGATCCAATTCAGCCGGAAATAATTCGTGTTATCTGTCTTATTATGATGTACACGTGTACATATTGCGTTTATTGTACTGCTCGAAGCAATTAACCTCGACCGAGAATGGTATCTGGTATTTTCGCGACTCCCCGAATAAGACGATGAGTATTATTAGATAACATTGTTGTTAATCCAAGTATGGTATGTTAATGTAAGACGAGCTAATAAGACAATTCCTTGTGTCCCATTATAAATAGCTTTTGCATGCTAAAACCAAGCGATGTTGAATTGTGTTTGCTGATTTCTTACATTTTTGAAGTTGTCGACGCGGTGGGTATTGAATTACCCGTAGATCATCTACTTTGTATTGTAACACGAGCGTCGAACTCAGGGACTTAATATTTTCCGAGTCCACGGTTGAACAGACCCTGATACTTTATCTAGGACATTACGATACAATCAGATGAAGCTTCTCAAACAATATCTGGATTACCCCGGTGTAATCCGAACGAGCTGGTTCGATCGAGACTATTGGAATTTGGAGCAAAATGAAAACGTATACTGAATACCTTTTCCAATAACTTGTTTTTTTTTTTTTTTCATCTTTGGATAGAAGATGCACGAAGAACCTGACGTAACATTTCAGTAATTATACGTACTATATACGTATTGTACGTTATAGTTTGACACGATTAGGAATCAAGAGGGCCAATCAAGGTTAATCACTGACCCATGCGGTCGAGTATCCTCCTCAAGTGTAACTCGCCGATATTAATCAACTTCTTCAGACTGACAAACCTATCATCCTTTAATTTTTATCTTCGAACTTCGTAATGACACATACCACGGTTTTGGTAGTCACCGTTGAAATGTCTGGTTCTTCGATAATTTCGGGCCATTCATTTCTGTATATTTTAAAAATCTTTAAAGAACATTCTTCGAACTTCCACATATTGCAGAAATGATTCGATGATTTTTATTTTAAGATCTTTCTAAAATGATGCAATATTTTTTATAAATATTTGCAAAACCAATCGACGGAACAACAAACAGTTTACTCCAATGGCAAATTATATTGTTTCTGTCTGAGAAACTGAAATGATGGATGATTTACTGAAAATATTTTTGACATCGGTAAATTTCGTATTGGGCAATGCATATTGGCCTGAATACATTGCTGAATAAGTCCGACACGACAGAATTTCCCAATTCGAAAATTGTGTTGTTTTTGTTTTATCATTTTCGTTGATTCGACAGCATTTCTTAGGAGAATCGGTCTGTTGAAACAACTTAATGCTTTATCGAAGTGACTGTCGATTATTAATCAATTAAAACTATTTCGATGCGGTCACTGATAGTCACTTGGGGAAATCGAATCGTGATAAAAAAAAGCCTTAGATAAGATATATTCTAATAATATACACCCATTTCAGGTTCAAAAATGTAAGAAGTACATATTGTGTAGAGTGAACAAAAGCACACTAAGCACCACAGTAGCACAAGATTATTTTACTCCATCATTCACTCTCTGGTTACTCTTCTAATCCAACGATGACACACGCTTTATTCCTCAAATAGAAAGATCAGCATAATGTATGAATAAGGATCACGTTTATCATAACTCACAATCGGTTAAACGACCCTGAGTGCTAATTGATTTCATACCGTTTGTATCGCACTACATTCCTAATATCTAGATTAAATATCCCACGTTTCGATAACGATAAAAGTATGATGCAAATATCCATAAAGTAACTGACCTGTTTACATCAGAAAGTTTCTACACATCCGAAAAACTCGTGAGTTCTTCTATTCTGTAATTAAACAACGTCAATTTTTAGTAAAGATTAATTAATATTACTCCAGTGTATCTTCAGCATTTGTTTGGCAGACTAGATAGGATAAATTACATAGTCTTTCTTGAAGAGGTAAATCTTGCACTTATTCATGTGGCAAACCTACTATTTTTTGGGCCCCCTTGTACCCCCGCGAGCAAACTCGGTTTCCGTTAGACGGTTTAACATTTATTTTAGTATTTAAAATAAATTTATCAAACTGTAAGGGGCCTTTTCCCTAGTGTACATATGTCCTCTTTGTGATCTTTATTCCACTATAGTATCATTTTGGTCATCTACTATAGTTCGTATCAAGAATCTGTTTTTTTTTTTTTCAAGGTTCCGGAATCTTCGTGTCCCCCACCAGTGCCCTCGAAAGATCAGGATCAGTGGGTTTCTGTCTGATCATCTGGACTGTCTGTGGTCTACTGTCTCTGCTCGGAGCTCTTGCGTTTGCTGAACTGAGCACGGTGGTTCCACGATCTGGCGCCGAGTATGCCTACTTCATCGAGGCGTTCTCGCCCCTGCACGAGTATGCTGGCGAAATACCAGCTTTCATCTGTTCCTGGGTCTACGTGGTCCTGCTGCGACCAGCTGAAGTGGCGGTGGTCATGTTGACGTTCGCCGAGTACAGCGTGCAACCGTTCTCCCATCTCCTGACGGACCTGCCGGAGGAGTCCATGCTTCGATTAAAGAAACTCATAGCGATGCTAGCACTTGGACTGATCACGTATATCAATCTGACCAGTGTGAAGCTGTACGTGAAAGTCCAGAATATATTCACGGTTTGGAAAGTGGTGGCCTGTATAGTAGTGATTGGGGGTGGGATCTGTTGGCTCTGCAATGGCCACACAGAACTGCTGGACAATCCATTCCGTGGTAGCACGAATTCCGCCGGTGACGTAGCCTTGGCCTTCTACAGTGGACTGTGGGCCTACGATGGATGGACATCGGCTGCGATTGTCACGGAGGAGATTCAGAAGCCAGAAGTGAATATTCTCAGGAGTATTCTAATCGCAGTACCTTTGATTACTGTACTCTACGTCTCGATGAACTTAATGTACATGGCCGCGTTAACGATGCCGGAAATGGTCAGCGCTCCAGCTGTGGCGGTACTCTGGGCTGATAGGGTGTTGCCCTCTTGGTTGAGCTTCGCGATTCCTCTTGGTGTCGCCTTGTCCACATTCGGTTGCAGCCTTAGCATCCAATTCGGAGTGTCTAGGCTCTGCTACGTGGCCGGCAGAGAGGGCCATGTACCCAGAGTGTTCAGCTTCGTTCACTTGGAGAAAATGACTCCGGCCGCGGCTGTGGCGTTCCAGGGAATGCTCGCGTTGGTCTGCATGCTGCTGGGAAACATAATCGCGCTGATCGAATTCGCAAGCTTCTTGACGTGGGTATTTTACGGACTTGCCATGGTGTCCTTAATAGTTATGAGAAAGACGAAGCCAGATGCACCCAGGCCGTACAAAGTTCCAATTGTGATACCTTGGCTGGTATTGTGTGTCTCTGTTTTCCTTGCTATAACACCGATTGTACACGAACCGTCGCCTAAATACCTCTTTGCGTTAATATTTATTGTATTCGGCCTCGCTGTCTATCATACGTACGTATACAAGAAGGTCAGAAGTACTTTGGCAGGTGAGTACAATAATTCAGCATAGAAATATTTTTCTTTCCGCATGACGTGTCGGTTGCAAAAATTTTGTTTGTTTTCTCGTTTCAGTGAAACTCACGTACCTGATCCAAGCCTTATGCCTGGTTGTTGCTCCAGATAAAGAAGACTGACACAATGTAACTTTGCAGATAACATTTAATGTATGTACATATCGAAACGCGATTCATATACATAATATTCTAATAAAGCGTCTGACTTGTATGGAAGTTCTAGCGTGTGGATTAGCTCTGGGTCTATTAACGATATAAAGAAATGAGGTCGTTTTTGTTATCATTACCATTGTTGAGATCGTATCAGAATTTCAGTCTTAATATCGTAAGCACACTGGAATTAATAGATACACTGTATCATATAGTATTGCGTAACGTTTTTATTAAATTTTATATATTTTAATAGAAAAAAAATTGGTAGTTAATATCTTAGTCTTAGTTATCGAATTCATTTGGAAGTAGAACAATATTTTTTTCGTGTGCAGTATTGTAAATGCTTAATAGAAATAACAATTGAGATATAATAAATATTTAACTATATTACAAAGATCAACATGTAAAAATATAAAGTATAATTTACAGAAATATGAAATATTTATTATATCTGTACATAAATATACTTTAAACGTCACAATATTGTAATATCAATTCTTCTCTAGTGATACTGTTATTACAGTATTATGATAATAATAAATATTATAAATGTCAATTATAATTATGAAAATGTAATCAACCTGAGAACTATGCTGATATGATATAAAAAGACTACAAAATACAGGGCATTTTATAAAAGTACCAAAGATTAACACACTTTAACATGTGTTCAGAATCTTATTAATTTAAGCTAATTTTATTCACCGTCATTTCTCTTATCAATTTAAAAGCATTTTATCTACTCAATACACAACAAAAATAGAGATTCATGTATTATTATCATAAGGCACCTGTACAAGGCTTTTATGTAACGAAATTGAAAGTTCCATTCAATGCTTGGAAAGCTCAATGTACTTATTACTCTAAGGAACGTTATGTATATTTCTTAATATAAGTAACAATTTGTTTTGTATGAATGATTACAATCGAGAATGAATTCAATTGTGTCATAGATTTGAAAGTATAAAATACACAGATAATATGTAACATCTCCTCGTAAAATAGAACCAAAGCTTATAATAGTGATACTGAAGTTAATTTTTTATACCAGTCTATATTTTACTGATATGAACTGTTACTGAGATGCACCACATTTTAAGCAGGTCTGTCTTTCACTAAAACATTATTCAAATACTTTAAGTATTTAGCTGAAAAACTATTGGATCTTTTATTGTATTTTCTTGTATTAATTACCTTAATATCTGATGGAGATTTTTTCTAAGTTCATTACATTTAGCTGTTTCAGCTGTCAGTGCAGCATCTCTTTCTCTCAATTGTTGCCGCAAATGATAAATGGTATCCTCTAGTGCTTCAAAAATTGCCTGCAAAGAGATGTATCATACAACTCTGTCGGCATATTAACATTCTTTTAATATCATGAAAAAGTTTCACATAAGACAATTACTCTAGACTCCTCTGCAGTATCAGATAAGGCAGGTGGTTCATCTAAACAGAAAAATTCTCTAACACATGCAGTGCCTATAAGAAGGGGACTGCTTAAAATTCCATTAACAAATGCTTGAAGGCCACGTATTCTTTCTTCCAAGAAACTTGGAGCAAAATTATCCCCAAGCCACTTTTTTCTTGGTAAAATTAAATATGAAACTGGTACTTTTTGTCTTCTTAACTGTGATAACAAGCGAACAAAATCTGTATATCTTCTAAACACAAACCAACAGTCTCCATTTTTCAATTCCACGCGTAATTTATAAACCTAATAGACATAAGTATAATGAGATATATACAAAGTATTGATATGTAACTATATCATAATAAATCAAAAATTTTACTAACCGTAAATCTAGCTCTCTCTTCCATAACTTCATATCCAACAATTGGTATTCTTAAGTCATCAGTGGTCAATGGTGGATTTAAAATATCTGAATTTGCATTATCATCATCAGGATAATTGAAACGCTGTACAATGAATGAATTTGAATGGCCAGATCCATCAGAGTCAGGACTGTCAAGTACTCTTACTGTGCCTGATTGAGAACCCCTTGCTTTACTAATTGCAAGTGTTACTTCACTAATACATCCCACACCAGACTCTGACGTGGACATTTTACCACCAATAAACTAAATGAAATCATGCATACTTAAAAAAAAATGAAAATTAAATTATTACAAAAGCAAAAAATACTATACTACCAATATATTAAAATACTCTAGACGAATCTGATCATACGTTTTAATAGAAAATGAAATATTCAAAGACCACACTGTAAAGACACGAATAATTTCATAAACGAAATAAAAGATAATAAACGAAAAAACACGAGAAGTGATTTCACCTATCATTTCATAAAGATTCAGTGATTCAACAGATCGTCGCGTTAGAGAAGAAATTCAACAATCAACATCAATTATTATACTACTTGTTAAGTGAAACAAAACACTAACCTGGATACTAATAATTAAATATTGTGCATCACTTTAACGGCTCTTCTTGGTTTTACACATGAATCAGAATGTTAGATCATTCTTCGTAGAAGGTTTATTTTACTACAAACATCACGTATATTTTAACTTCACAGTTACCGTATTAAGGAAAATATACAAAGTGGTACAAAGTTGACATATGACATATTGAGAGCTTGAAAATATGTAAACCGTTTCCGTGGAATCGCAATGACTTAGATTATCAACTATGGGTGAAAACGTGGATGCACTGCTGCATTTTCAAAGCAACATTTCCGAACTCAGCTTTACGTCCAATTTCTATTCATTGATCTCTATCCTAATTGGAGATTGAACTCCTGTGCGAAGGAGTTGAGGCGACAGCGGTCCGAGGGAAATGGAAAATATGTGGTGGACGTGTCCTTCTTCCTATTATCCGCTCTATCTGTACCATTCTTTTAGCTGGTAGTACATTTGCGTATAAAGGGGATATGTGTAGAGTGTATAGACTCCACGCTGTGATCTGTGCATTTTGTAAGACTGAGATACAGTCACCACATATTTTCCCTCTTTCTCGGACCGGCAGCGATCCTACAGTTCACAGTCCAGTTAGGATAAACCTCAATGTTCTGTCATATAGTTCAGTGCACATGTATGCCTGCCAATGCCTACACAGAGGCGTGTTAAATGCTGCTGCATTGACATACGCGCCAGTGTGGAGAAACACGAATCCAAAATATGGCAAGTTCGTCAAGGTAAATTTCGCAAAAGTTTCGCCTAATATATTTCTACGAACGGTAATGTCATTTGTGCCAGTGGTTTCTTCTATGAAGTGCTGTTATTCAATATTAGGTCGAATTCGTTTAAAAATAGAATAATGTCATGGATTTTGGTTATGAAATCTGACAGTGTTTGTTTGTTTTTGATTGCTCCCAATTAATTATTCTAGGAAAGAGAGTGTATCAGTTTGTGATACTTAGATCTCTTTTTACCTTATGCCTTTTTTCTTTAACGGAGGAAACATTTTTCGTAGTCTTATCTGTTCTTTATAAAAACCTACCAAATCAAGGTTACACTCATTTATTTTTTAGAAATAAATATCAGTGTAAACAGTCGAGAAATTATGGTATTTCAGTTATTATAATGGAGATACATTTATTTATATTTATATGCATATGCACATTAATGGTATATAGTGGTATACATGTCCTTAGTTCTTCCTTACAGACACGAAACAAACAAAGTTTGTTGTTATGCACATCCAGATGCACCACTTATTGAAGATTATCGAGCAGGTGATCAAATTTGTTCAGAATGCGGACTTGTTGTGGGAGATAGGTAAATACAAAATGAAAAATTTACATACACTGATGTTAATAATTATTATCTTTCAATTTTCTTCTAATAGAGTCATAGATGTTGGTTCTGAATGGAGAACATTTAGCAATGAGAAAGCAGGTGTTGATCCATCACGTGTTGGTGGGCCAGAAAACCCACTTCTTAATGGTTCAGATTTATCCACCATGATTGGCCCAGGCACAGGTGCAGCATCATTTGATGCTTTTGGTGCTTCCAAATATCAAAATAGACGCACTGTGAGTATAAGATATCTCATGTTACATATAACAACTTCTGCTACTAAGTAAATTATATTCCTTTCAGATGAGCAGTTCTGATAGAGCATTGATCAATGCTTTTCGTGAGATTAATGGAATGGCAGATCGTATTAATTTGCCTAAAACTATTGTTGACAGAGCTAATAACTTATTTAAACAAGTGCATGATGGTAAAAACTTGAAAGGGCGTGCCAATGATGCAATTGCTTCAGCATGTTTGTACATTGCCTGTAGACAAGAGGGTGTACCACGTACTTTTAAAGAAATCTGTGCAGTCAGTAAGATTAGTAAAAAAGAAATTGGAAGATGTTTCAAACTGATCCTGAAAGCACTTGAAACCAGTGTGGATCTTATCACTACAGGAGACTTTATGTCCAGGTTTTGCTCTAATCTTGGCCTTCCTAATATGGTGCAAAGAGCTGCTACACATATTGCAAGGAAAGCAGTAGAAATTGATATTGTACCTGGAAGATCACCAATTTCGGTAGCAGCTGCTGCAATATACATGGCATCACAGGTATTGAATATAAATAATGAAGCTGCTTTGTGTCTTTAATTTCTATAACTCTTACATATTTTGTACCATTGTTATCCAGGCTTCAGAAGACAAAAGATCTCAGAAAGAAATTGGTGACATTGCTGGTGTAGCAGATGTTACAATCAGACAGTCTTATAAACTCATGTATCCTCATGCAGGAAAACTATTCCCAGAAGATTTCAGATTTGCGACACCTATTGATCAACTGCCGCAGATGTAAAGTGAACACGAGACCTTATGTTTTGATGTATATTTTATCACGTTGAAGCAATAGTTATATGTCTACAGTAATCATCCATAAATAATCCAACCTTTTTTTTCAGTATACATTCCTAAATGATTTATGAAACATTGGTATTATCTAATTTATTACGCATTAAGTATATTTTTGAAGTGAAACTTCTTTAGCCACGGTAGCGTAATTTTGCTCGAGCACGTAACGAAAAGTAAAACGCTTCCCCCACCAAGAATCCAAGAGTGGAAGGAGGGGGAAATGTTCCAACTCTATCTGGAGTGCTGTCCGTGAGTAGGCTACCTATCGGTCGCCGAGCGAAACGGATATTGCGAGTGAGTGAGAGTGGAACACTCGAGCCGTTCGGTTCACTGGTTATGACAAAGTATAGTAAATCATCGATGAGTGTTCGAAGGCTCCTTGGCATTGAGTGTTCAGACGTCATTCTCACCACGGGGAGGTCCCTGTGGAACCAATCAAGCGCCCAGTGGTGGGGATGACGTCTGAACACTCATTGATGATTACTGATCGATTGATGATACTCATCGATGATTTACTGTAATCTGAACAGTATGTGAAAAATAATATTTTAGAATTTTCGAAAACTAATCTGGACACGGCAGAAATGGAACTACTTTTAGTTATATGTCAACGTATATTCACATTTGTAGATCGGAGAACAATCTAAAAGTTATTCTCATTAAGAATAATTAACGGTTTTGATATTTAATAATTTTATTATTAAAATCATTATCAAATTTGATGATAAGAAGTTTCACTTCCAACGCGTGAGTTCTACGCACTGATTTTTGTTTTTGTTTTTCTGCTGTACTTTGTTCCTATGATATTGGTATTCGCAACAGTAATAGCTTGATAATTTATCTGGTGTAGATAATGATTCATTTAAATTCACTACTATGATTGCTTTATTTAGTATGTTATTATTAAAGGAAAAGATAGAATAAATAGGGAGGCATTATCAAATACATTAGAGTATTTCAAATACAAAGTTAAAAGATTTGTACTACAACTTTTATATGTTAACAAGAAGAATGTTAACTGTATGTTATGTATATATATACACATACAGACAACTGGCATACCACATACTACATATGTTCAACATGAGACTACTGTTGTCAATGTAATATTTTTTATTCACATTTAATATAAAAAAAAATATACTAAAGTTTAAACTTCGTTTAAAGTTTTTAAAATCCTGTAGCACAAAATCTTTCTTTGTATTTGATTTTCAGAGAAGTTTATTAAAGATTGTACTAAAGATTGCATATAAAGTAAAACACACTAGGCCTTGACTTGAAAGTACCACATGATACAGTTATATAATAAATTCTGTGATATTTCTATTAAATGACATATATTTGCAATTACTGGATTTGACTACAGATTTTAAAATAGTTTTCTAATAATTTATATATATTATTTTTCGTTTAAATCTGAGAAAAAAATGTTTAATAGAAATATATTTAAAAACGATTTTTTACTCTGTTATATGACTCCATTTTATTTACATACAATTAAAGATTGCATCCCAATAATTTTTGTGTTTAAACTATATGCATGAACAAGTTTTAAAGAATAATATTCAGTACAAAAATATTTGTAAATTATTTTTAATCGCGAGAGTTTAAAAAATATATAAAAATTTATATTGAATTATTTAGTAAATTTAAAAACGTATATATCTTAAGTTGTATATCAAGTTATGCCAATAAAAAACTTGTTACAATAAGTTATTTCTTTTTATTTATTAAACCTTTATAGTATAGTTATTACGATGGAGTCTGATTTGAGAATGTGTGTGTGTGTTTATCAGCTGGCTGTCATGTAGGCAAGTGTCACTTTCAACTTTATTGTGTACATTGACAGTAATATAACAAACAAAAATTTGTGTAACGTAAACAGACACCATTTAACGTATACATAACACTTTTTTAATCACTGTTTCATTAAATGTTCTGTAAAATATTCCGAATTGTTGATCCGAATTAAGCATAGCGTAATATAACCTGTGAATAAACGTTTGATAGCAAAATTGGAAACGTTCCATTTCGTTGTGCACAAAACAAGTATTTTATACGACAGTTTCAGTTTTTTTGGTAGTTTTCCTTGTAAATAAAAATGAATTCAGTACCTCCCACCAAACCTCCAAGAGGTATCAAACCAACGAAAGAAACGGTAAGTTTAAGTATCCTGTATCAATTAATTTGATTATTTTTCTCTTTCTTTAATTTGAAATTTCTTTCAGAGTGGTTTATTAATTTCTGTAATTCGTGCTTTATCTGCAAGTGAAACAAATGAGCAAAGAGAAATAGAGAAAGCTAAACTTGAGAAGGAATATAAGAAGAGTGATCAGCGACTTGACGAGTTAGTCTCATTGCATGATCAGGATCTTGCACAAGTTATGCAAGTAAGTTCATGGGAATAAATTATATAATGTAAAGGTTTCTGTGCCTTAGAATAATGTAATTTACAATATCTGTCATTGTAGATATTCAGTGCTTTATCAGAAAAAGTAACAGCTTCTCGAGAGAAAATTCATGCAGTTAAAGAGAACTTGAATGCCTGTAAACAATTACTGAGGTGTAAACGTGAGGAATTATTAAATTTGTGGTTGGAAGGAATTGAACACAAGCATGTGCTAAATCTTCTAAAAGATGTGTAAGTATAATTATTCCCTGACAAAAACAAATTTACAAAGAATGCAACATAATTAGTGTCATTACCATTTCTTTCTTTTTTTTAGGACACCTGACTCTTCTTTTCGAATACTTCCTGTAACAGACACAGATGCATTGTCAGTGTCTACATCATATACTGCAACATCGGATCAGTAATTATATTTATAAATAGATATGAATAAATTGTAATTGAATTGTTTTGTATTTATGTATAATAATAAATGAAACGCAAAATGTACTTTATCTTGAAATAACTTGTTCCTCGAATTCCTTATTAGACAGTTATTAAAATAATATGGTTAACCAACATTCAATTTTACACATTCGACCAGGTTTGTAATTTCCCGCCAAGAAGTCATTTTTAATAGAATCATTCGTTTGTCCATGAGAAATAATATTTTCGAACCTTGTACTTATTTCAATAAGAACAAAAAATGATGTAAAACCCAATAATTATGTGATAGTTACGGATTAGAATAGGTACTTTAATTGTATTTTCAATGATTTCTTTTCATGTCAAGATTTCGTTCATGGTTATATGGCGCACGTGATATTTCACGGACGATACATTCCCTTATCACTTATAACTTGGTGTAGTACATTTTATATGATAATTGATTTCAAAGTATATGCAGACTAGTCCGTTCGCTGATAATTCACTTTTTCACAACGTGAAAATAAAAAGCCTGCAAAACGTATATCGTAAGTGTTACTTTGAACACAATATATGGGTTCCTTTGGATCATCTTTCACGTGTAACATATTATTATTTCATTAAATAATGACTAAATACCAGGTTAATTTTTAAACCTTTGTGTTTATATCATTTCGTGCAAATTCGTTGAAAGATACACAGTTATATTTAAGCACTCTCTACTGCTCTCTAACATCTTGTCATTTATAATTTTTATAAGTGCAAACATTTCATTTCATTTCCTTTTCATACTTAAGATCATTGCATGGGGTAGTTTGATATTAAATGTGATGTGCAAACATTTCACACCTACATTTCCTCAGTAATATCTGTGATACGTAAGTTTAACACATTATCTTAAATGTACAAGCTTCTCTTGGTAACTTTAAAGAGTCATTATGTTGTTGCAGGTAGAAATGGGTACATTGGAATTAAAACATACTTTGAGTGGACATAGAGGAAGGGTGTGGAATGTTTGCTGGCATTCCAAGGGTACATGTCTTGCATCTAGCGGTGAAGACAAAACCATTATAATATGGGGACCACAAGAACCAAAATGGGTCATAAAAACCATCCTCACTGAAGGACATACAAGAACTATTAGAGAAGTAGCTTGGTCTCCTTGTGGAAACTATATAGCATCTGCTAGTTTTGATGCAACAACTGCTGTATGGGACAAAAAATCAGGGCAATTTGAATGTAATGCAACATTAGAAGGTCACGAAAATGAGGTGAAAAGTGTTAGTTGGTCTTCTAGTGGACAGTTGTTGGCTACTTGTAGTCGTGATAAATCTGTTTGGATATGGGAAGTGAACGATGATGAATATGAATGTGCTGCAGTCATTAATGCTCATACCCAAGATGTGAAGAAGGTAAGTGGATATTAAAACTTTTAATTATTAGAAATGGATCCTTAAGATCAAATGTTTGTAGTTCTCTTTGATATGTTGTTTTGAAATTAAAGATAGTAAAAGCACATTGCAACATATTAAATATTATTACCAGGTAAGGTGGCATCCTACTGAAGAAATTGTGGCATCTGCCAGTTATGACAACACTGTGAAGTTATTTAAGGAGGATGCAGCAGACAGTGATTGGTCTTGTGTGGCAACACTATCGTCTCATACCTCAACAGTTTGGAGTCTTGCATGGGATAAAAGTGGAAATAGAATAGCAACCTGTAGTGACGATCAAACAGTGAAAATATGGCAAGAATATAAACCTGGTAATGAACCTGGTATTGCTACAACAAATAACGAACCAGTTTGGAAGTGTGTTTGTACTATATCTGGTTATCACACAAGAACAATTTATGACATTGATTGGTGTAAGACAACTGGCTTATTAGTGACTGCATGTGGTGATGACATTATTAGAATATTCAAAGAGGACAATGATTCTGATCCTCATCAGCCATCATTTACAATGGTTTGTTCAATGGACAATGCTCATACACAGGATGTGAATTGTGTGCAATGGAATCCTATTCTTCCTGGACAATTGGCATCAGCTAGTGATGATGGTTTAGTCAAAATTTGGTTTTATAATGAATAGTTTAATTATTATTTTATGTAATTATATTTTTTAATAATAAACGTATTTAACAAATGACAAGTGATTTTGATAGATCCCTACCTAGCTCTAAGATCAAATGTTGGGAACTATTATACACCTAGCTGTGTTACTTGTTTTTAGGTTCATCTCAATGTATAGGGGTATTACCGTACTGAGACACAGTTACAAGACAATAATTTCTCATTACAATTCACTGCATACAATGGGTGATATAAAGCCTAATTCTGCTGGGGTTTCTTTGACGCAAGTTGTAGATGCATTACAAATGTTTGCTAAGTTACGACTTGCAGCTTCTTGGGATAACGTGGGATTGCTCATTGAACCCACAGAATCAAAAGTAGTCTCTCATATTCTTTTAACAAATGATCTAACTGAAGATGTTATGCAAGAAGCGTTAGACTTGAAAACTGATATGATAATCACCTATCATCCACTAATATTTGCACCTATGAAGTCTGTGACAACTCGTTCGTGGAAGGTAATAATTTATTATACTGTTGTCTTACTAAATGTGTCTTCTATTAAAACGTTTGTATTGAATTACTTTTCCTGTAGGAGAGAATTGTAGCCAAATGTCTAGAAAACAAAATAGCTGTGTACTGTCCACATACCACTTTTGATTCAGTGAAAGGGGGAGTGAATGATTGGTTGGCTTCAGCATTTGAAAATGGTAAATTTAAATTAATAATTATTCAAGTATTTCATTGACTGTGTCGTAATTAATGGAATCTTTTATGTAAGTACTTGATACTAGCAAACCCATAGAACCGAATAGTGATAATTTGGAGTATGGTTTTGGAAGATTATGCAGCTTGAAGAAAAAAATTTCCATTGAGGAAGCTGTACAATTAGTGAAGCAGCGCACTGGTTTAAATCACGTTAGATTGGCACGCGCTCGTCAAACAGGTATCAAATTAATAATTCGCATTATTATTTTTCAGTTATCCTAATGGTAAATTTGAAATACTGAAATTTGACTTTACAATTTCAGATGGTTTTATTAGTACTGTCGCGCTCTGTGCTGGATCTGGGGTGTCTGTTTTAAAAAACGTACCTGCCGATTTATATCTCACAGGAGAGATGTTGCACCACGATGTCCTGGATGCCGTCCACAAAGGAACTAGCGTGATATTAACAAACCATTCTGACTCTGAACGTGGATTTTTGAAATTATTCTCGTGCACCTTGCATGACATGTTAAACAAGTCTGTGGTGATAACTGTATCTAAGAATGATGCAGATCCTTTAACAACCGTTTAACTTGCATTAAAGAAAGACAAGTCGGTGTAAACATGGGGATGGAATTGTTTTTCTTGTACGTGATAAAATTTTATTAATAATATTATAAATTATCTCTTCCTGTTTATGGATTGACAATTTTTATTTCAATCTGGCAAAGTTGAGAAGAAATAGTGGGAAGTAATTACATAAAACAATCATTGTATATTGCGTGTCATTCAACAAAAGTGATTTTCAACTACAACGGAAACAGCGTTTATGCTTCTTTTCTTTCTTTTTCTTTTTATGTAACGAGCTTAGACTACTTCGCAATTAATCTTTGAACATGTGTAACCGTTAGAATTCATTTCCTTTATTTTGGTTATTGAAATATCGTCAGTTGGTTCTTCACTCGCCCGTACTTTTTTCTCTCTCATCCCTTCAACGTTCACATTCATTCAGAGTTCACGCATGGCGATTACAAAGGAAAAAACCCGACTTCAACAATGTACGCGGTCGGCGTTTATTCGTTGAAAATTTATCTAAAGAAAGTACAACAGTCGTTATTCTGGTCCAATTGGAACGATTTCAATTTAGGTCCACGCGTTCAATTTAGTTTTTCGACGGGTCTTCGTCCTCGACCCTTCCATCTTTTTTTCCCATTTAACAATAGATGAAAAACTATTCGCCCCGTAGCAGTCCTATAATTATAACTTGACTTACGATACAACGTAGGTATAAGTACATCTCTAACAACTGACTTCTCGCGTTAATACGAGCTGTGTGTTCTATGTTTCCCGTCCCATGTGTATGAGTGTATTTTGTATGCGTGTAGTATGTATGTGTACATCGACGACGAAATGCGTAATACACGATGAACACTTTATAAATTGCGATTTCTACATCACCGAATAACGGTGTGGAAGTATACCCTGAGCTCAGATGCCCAAATATTCTGGATCGTGTCAGCCGCGTCGAGAGAGGAGTATTGCAGAACAGACAACGTGAAACTGAAAACCGAGAACAACAGACAAATTTCTATCGATAGCATCACCGCCGTATATTCGAAACGGTTACACGGTTATTCATTTACGTTTCGAGTTTAACGTTTTCTATACTGCGGTAACTGGTTCCTGGTTGTCGCTAATATCGTTAAAAGTCTCGATCAGCTAGGTCAGGACTATGTTCCTCTTAGAATAGATTCCAACGCGTTCACCATCCCGGACAACTGGGTCAACCGGTTTCGACCTAGGAATTTATAACCTATCCGAGGACCAGGTTGATTTTAACGCAGGTGTTTGTAACCAACTGGCGGTGGTTCGTGCTGGTCTTTCGATGAAAATTTTCGAATTCCAATGTGGGTCACGTCGATTTGGAATCTAGTTTCAAAGACCTGTACGGTAAATCAAATTGGAGTCTACCCTGGAATCTATACGTGGATCTGGCTGATCCGAAGGATGACATGTGGATCCATGGATTTGTTCGACTAATTTCTAGGTGACTCTCCAGTGGTAGCTATCCTTGCTCACCCAGAGACGGTGAACGTGTTGATTGAGCTGTCCTCGGAAACTCCACGAAATCGATCCCAGATAGCATATGACGCCTTGCAGAAGCCCATTTTACGCTTATTTTAGGTCTAAGGCGCCTTCGAGTCGTCTTCAAGGCGTCATTGGGCGTCATGTGGCATCTGGGATGTCTTTACTACCCAAATATTCGGAACGATTACAAGTTCAACCTCTTAAATTTTAACTAGCATCCTCTTGACAATCCCTATACCAGTCAAATTTCCTAAGTCACAGCGACCCGTATCTCTACCGTAGATTCGCACGATTCTAGTACGAACATAGTCCGGTATACAGATTCGATCTTCGTCGCGCAAAACATCTCGTTCGTTTCACGTATGTATATCTCAGTTAACGAAACAAAGGGAATTATCGAAGTGAAAAGAGAACAGAACCGTTCGTGCCTGTGTTTTCCTCGAAACGTTTTCAAACGCGTCGCCCTATGCCTAGCAGCTGGTCTCACCATCGAAATACATTCTATTGTTCGCGTTCGTTCGAAAACTGCGACTGGTTGCGCGCGTCCGCAGGCTCGAATTCAAGAGATAATCCAGATTTATTTCGGAACCTCTAATCCGAACTCTCAATTTACGCGGTGGAAGACGATTTTCACGCTCGCGGCGTCCGCCTCATCTCGTAGCCAACCAAATTCCGGGCGACCCCCTTTCCGTCCTGTGGTGGGTCGAACATAGCGTATACATATACCGGGACGGTGAATACCCGTCCGTAACAGAACTATTTAAACACTTTCTTATTAGCCCATGTCAACGATAATTCGTGTTCTTTTTTTTGGCAAGTACAGTGTACATATTGTCGTTTAAACCGTAACACAGCAAACAAAAATGGCGCTTCATCCGGTATCGAACGATTCGTTTCGACGAACCATTTATTTTATTACATTTTATTTTCCCTTAACATCGATTGCTTCTTTGACCGCGGAGTGTCACAGAATCAAGATCGAACCGAAGCATTTTCACGAATGTGGATCCCACGACGCTGTTACGCGTGGAAATAATCGATCCGAGCTTGTACTCGGTAAAGATGGCCGCCATGTTGGTGTACACGAATAACCAATGTTATACACGCATTTCGTTTTGGTCGCGTTTCACGGAAAAGAAATTGCATTCTCACACGTTTTGAATCCTCGATCCCGTGACACTCGGTGTGCACCGTTTATCGCTTATTTTATTCGTTACAACAGACTACATTTTTTTTTTTGTTCCTTATAATACATTCAGCACTGGATCGTGCCGCAGTCTGGTCCAATTCCACCGTTCCCATCTTATTTCTCCTCGCGCTTTCACACGGATATATCCTCATTTCCCATCATTTTTTTTTTCTCCACCATCGTTCCTTCAACCGGAACGCAACAGGGATCACTTTACCGTGCCATTTTTCATCGGTATCTTTTCTTACCCGCGACAACGTCGTCGTCGTTCCCGTGAAAAGTCACGGATGGTTAGAGGTTTTGCAGATCAGTTCCGGAGAAAACGGTTACCGGAGTCCCGACGCTATTTCACATGAAACCGTTCCGAAACAGTTACGAAAACCATCGCGATCCATAAAATAACGTGTTCCTCGCGTTCAGAATATTCTCCATATAATTTCGAAACTTCTTGTTTCTCGATCTACAATAAACGGTCGAGACGATCGGTTTGAAGGTTAGTAGTCGTCGATACAAAAAAATTCGGTCTTTGAACGTTTTTTCGACTAAAATTGTTCGTCTTTAAATCGAGGGGTTTACCGATGATGCGAACCCGTATGATCCCGTGTGTTCGTTTAATAACGATGATTCAGGAAAGCCAACAGGGTCGTCGAGATCAGCACGAACGGCAGATTTGCGAGCCTGAGTTGACCGCCGTGTTGCATGGCCGCTGGATGCTCCCCTGCGGATCAATGATTAAAATTCAAATTGAATTCCGTGCCACCAGCATCCGTCGTCTTATTGGAATTGTTTCCCTGGTATCTAGCTGGTATATACAGGGTGGGTCCAGCGAACACGACGATGGTTAACATTCCTGGGAAATTATGGACGATAGAAAAACTGGATTCGTCGGGAATTACGCAGCCAAGGATTTCCGTGGAGGTGAATCTGGATGTTTTTTGGACACATACACACACTGGTCCTCTTGATGCTTTTCTGGGGAAACTGGTAGTTTCTTTTCTGCGGAAACTTCTACGGAGGAGTCGGCAAATATACATGGAGTAGTGGTGTAATTTGTGGATCAACTTTGGAAGGGAACCGCCTTGGGCGGTGAAGTTATGGCGTAATGTTTTCGTAGAAGGTTTCTTGGTCGAGAGGAAACGTAATATGTAGGAGAGAGAGATTGACAATGTACCTGTTGCGAGCTATTTAACACGCTTCGTGGAACCAACGATCAATGGCCACGAACCGCGTAATCAATGTTTCAATCGCAACAGTAAATTCCACACGTGGACCCAGGATGACTGAGTTACGTGGTTTATTTTTTAATTCTTACTGACCGGTAGCCTATTAATGGACTTTTAAGTTTCAGTGCTTATGGATAAGTGGTATAGATAATGTATTAATTTACTCTTAGATCAGGGTTAAAGAAGAAATTGTTGATTGGACTGTTTAAACATAGTTCGTTGGGTCTTGGTTGTTGGATCTACTAAATCGATTAACACGTTGTCTGCCACAGTGAAAAAGGCTGTGCGTAGCCAGGCACACATTATTTTATTTTTAAGTCATAAATCGTCGAAAATATATGCGTTTAGTTTATAGAGGCTGTTGGTTCTTTTTTGATTAATACTGTGATATTAAATGTACACAAATATTTTGTAATTAAATAATCCAACCTTTTTGCTGTGTACGAGTCACTCATATTTGAATAACGTGGCAGTCAAGGTGTTAAATAACAACCGGTAGATAATGTGATAAAATTCGCAGTCTAGTGATTACTTGTATGGAATTCCACGCGTTGAGAATTTAATATACATATAATCACGATGGAGATGATGTAGACAGTATTACTTCTGACAGCAGTGAAAAATCTATCAGGCTTTTTTACATTACACGCAACGACGAAAAGAATATTTAATTATATATAGAACGAAATTACACAATTTTATAGGTCGAAAATGTTGTTACTTGTTGAAATTTATTCTGATTTTGTATTACGGTTACATTTTCTATTCCCGTGTAAATGCAAGTAGATAGACCGTTAATAGCCAGACGGAACAATGCTGCAGTTTTCAAGTAAAATAAAACCGACATTTCCAGACAAACCGAATGGGACCGTAGGTTGTCAGACAAGTAGAATAAAGCCGCCATTGTTTGACAAGTAGAATGAGATTGCCGTGGTCAAACAAGTGGAAGTAACTCTAATATCAGCGTGAAGTCCGTGGAGCGCATCCACGGGTTAAACTATCGTATAACGTGCTAACACGAATATCCAGAAAAGAATCGTTGAATTTTTCGTCTTCCATCGTAAATAATGAATTTCAAACTCTTTACGTCTCGTACAACAATTCACATGCCACGCGAAGAATAAACTGAAAAGGATATTTTTTTCGTTTTAACATTTTACGAATGTTTTCGACAGTTTCCGTAATTTCTACCGCAAGTTGACGTAACGAGTAGACGAGCGGTCACGTTGGCAGTCTCTAATCGGACCAAGCGAATATTCCATGAATTTTCGAACTGGATTTTCTTCTCGTGAGAATTTTCCAGCTAGCAAAAAAGATATTGTTTTACCGTTCTCGGTCTATTTTTGCTCGGTGAAATCATCCAGTTTCCGGTACTATTGCCAATCGAGCGCGACCCGGTATATTGAACGGAATCCTTGCACCTCCAGTTTCGAGTTTCTTCGCGATTCCATATAAGCTTCCACTTGTTTCCGTCAATAGAGACCGTCGAAGCTCTCAACTCCTCTACTTAGGACCGAGTGTACAAAATAATCGGCTTCTCGGTACTTGACATCGTATTGATTTATAAATTAATTCTGTTGGTCGAGCTGATAATTTTCATTAACGAAATGCAAAACTGATAAACTATGCGATTGTATATAGCACGATCTGGTTACGTGGGAAATATTATATAACCACTTTCAGTAACTTCCATGCAGATTAAAGGATTTTTAATAAAGTTTAATACGACTTTTGCGTTACTATTACCGTAGAAAAAAGTCTCTATTACCTTAAAATTCTGACTAAGCTTCAATTCTTCCACGTTTAAAATTCTGAATTTCCACACATTTCGGTAGTCTAGGTGTTCTGTTAAGTTTCTCAGTTCACGTGGAACAGTTTAATTCCGATAGAACCTGCGAGCTTTAATATCGATGCAATAAAACAGGATATACTCTGTTTGATACCGAAGCAGAATATCTCGAACGTGCACGGTATGTCATGGAGGTGCTTCTAGAATACATACATAGATCACGTAGCTTCGCCCCGTTAAACCTCGACCGATCGGAACCAGGATCAAAATGATCGTTCTTTTAAAGCGTCGTTTCTGATTGGTTATAGCAATCAGCCGCTCGAAACTTTGTGTACTCCACTTTAAGTTCGTCGTTGAACTTCGAGGGGGAAGTTCGGAGAAGTTGAATTGCCACTGAACGCTAAGTTAACTGTATTGTTTATTGACAATCCTTCGGATGGAGTTTACTGCTCGATATTACAGCAACGAGCATTACTTTCGAGTACGATTGTCTGCGACCAGTTGTGGAAAATGTATTCCATTTATTTTCACGACATTCATAGATTTTCGACCCTGAATTAGTGATAACGAAGAAGTTCCTAATTTTTCTCGCTTAACCCTTTCATTCCCACTGTTGCCATAAGGTTAGGTATTCTAAATTATGAAATAAAATATTAGTATCACGTATTTTTCTATATCTGTTAGTATGTATAATACTTTTTGTAAAATAAGACATTATTGGTCCTTATGGATTATTTATGTGATGGAGTTCAAGTGTTGAACAAAACTGTAATCTCTTTCTATAAACAAAATATGCAAGAAGGTTTATTAATCGAAGGTAAGAAACATTGGGTCTTATTACGAATAATAATATTGTATTCAGAATTATTATATATTACTGTGATAAAAGTAAAAAAATTGTCAAATGGCAACGAATGAAAAGTGGCATTAGACGGTTTCAAAATGTGAAAATATTTTTGTGAATCATTTATATGTTGTCTGCTATAGACTATATATGGGAATGAAAGGGTTAACTTCACGAGCAATTTTTGTAACAACGATTACAGTGTCTACTGAATAATGACTGATGAGACTCAGATAGGAGCAGTAATCCGGGGAATATGATAGTACTTTACGAACTCACTCGATCTAGACACGTTTCTCTAATTAGCGTTTCCCGTCAATTGCAAGTGCTTCGATCTCGAGAAGTTCGAGTGTTCCGAGTATCTATCAAATGACTGTCGATAATTTCATCAGTCATTCATGTAGCTACAATTTAAGAGGAATTAACGGAACCGAAAGAAGAGTCCTAATTGCAAGAAATCGACTAAACTCGGAACAATCACAATTTCCCACGCATAAATCCGAGGAAGACACACCGATTCATCGATGTCGCGAAACTTATCAACGAAAACTTTCCCACGGATTAGCATTCACGAGTGATTTCTCGGTAATTACAAATCACAGAGGAAGATAGAATCATCCCTCTGTGGATCCAACTCATTAATAACTTTCCTCGTATTAATGCTCGCCTGTTCCTCCCCTTCACTAAATCGAGGAGGGAACAGTCCAATAGACAAAAAAACTCGAAGGTAAAAATAGAAAAAAAGGAAGAAAAAACGAAACATACACTAATCGCAAATAAGAATCCCCTTTACCGTGTCGTCGAACACCTTCATAAGCTGCTCTCTCTCGAGGCGCAATTAAAGGAGCAACCCAGTGTCTCAGGCAAGACTCACCACCTCGAAAACTCAATTTCCCACTCCCCCGTAAGTCAAGATATATCGTTCCATTCCCCCCTCCCTTCGAACTCGAGCTCGTTCAGCGTATTTCAAATTTCCCTCCGTTACAGCTCGCGTGCGCGGGTGGCCCCGTATTCCAGGATTATTCGGCCAGGACGAATTAACGAATACCATCGAAACGGAACAACTGGAGGGGAAATAGCACAGTGAACAGAGGTGGTTGGTTGAGGAACGGAAGACAGAGAGGAGGCTGGAGGAAGAAAGTTCGCTCGAGCGAGAAGGGAGATTTCGCGAGTTTCAATTAACAGGCCTTCGTTAATGAATTCTCGTTAAAAACTGCTTCGTTGTCGTAATCGTGTTTCTCCGGGCAAACTGAGCACGCACCCTACCCCACCCACCCCCTCTCCTTCCAGAGCCAAAGCAAGGGGTGGGGTGGTGGGTGGGAAAAAAAAAGTGCCGACAGTATTTCATAGCGCTCGTACATTTCCGCGCCAGGTCTGGCCAGCTAGCTGGGCTAAACGAATGAACCCGATCGGTCTCTTGGCAGAAGATAACGGTCTTAGCAAAAACCATTCGGCCGAGCTAGAAGTGTAATTAAAGAGATTTCACGGGGGAAGCTGCAAGGCGACGGCGGCGAAGAGCTGAGCTCAGCCATTGTTGCGCGTCCGTTCGATGGCGTGGTTTTGCCCTGGGCGCCCTTAGAAAGTAGAATTCGGGATTTCGGGGGAAGGACGACCATCCCTCTCTTCCTCGCGTGGCACGAACGACAGAGATAGATAAACGTCTATTGGCGTTCTGGCCCGACCAGAAGAGGGGAGAGGTGGGTTTATCATAAAATCGATATACAGAGTGTGCTCCTGGGGCCGGGCGGATCGGTATCACGGCAACATTTGCTTAACAAACAGATGTTGCACGGGGTTCTTCTTTTTTTTTTTTTGTAAGAGAGAGGATCGTCTTTTTTTTTGTGAGAGAAAGAGGATGATATACTTTTTTTTTTCTTTCTCGTGCTTCCTGATCGAGGGATCAAGGGGATAGAAAAAGGTGTGTTGTTGCGGGGTTCATCTAGTCTGATGGAAATTAAGTGGCTGCTCAAGATCGGCTGAGGGGTTGCGCTTTGGGGGATGTGACTTTAGGGATCTCTGGTTATATTCCTGGATGGAAATGTTTCTTAAACCGTGGAGAAGGTAATTGTCTGATCTGCAGGACTACTCGAGAGGTTGGGATTTTGTCAATTGAGTTAGGAAGAAATTTGGGATTGTATTGGTGACTTAAGAGATCGTAATATTTAACCCTCTGAACTCCTTTGTCGAGTGTGACTCGATGTCGATTTTATTCATAGGTACTCCTATGTCGAGTCACAATTGGCATTTTAAAATTGCCAGAGTAAATATGTATTATATTTTACAGTATTTAACCCTCGAATGGTAAGGTGAGCTTTAACCTTTAATTACTCGAACACCCCTTTGTGCAAAATTGCTCGAGATGGGGTCTTGTAGGACCCTAATATAGGTTTCTTTGCGTAACTAGTTGCATGGGGTCAGCAATTACCAGAATCTCATAAAGAACACTTAATTAGTAGCTATACGAATTACGCATTTATGGAGACATCGAAATTACAATGACCCCATGCTAGTAATTAAAGGTTGAGGTCGTACTTAGCAAGGTGGGGACGAAATCCGACCCCAGCTAATTTCAAATGGGTAAAAAAAGTTACCTTAAGGGAATAATAATTGAGTTATGTAACATATAATAATATAAGTATAAAACGTTTACTGAATAATATAAAATATTTTAAAAGTAAGAATAATGAAAAAATAAAAAATAGACTGGGGCAACACGAAAAAAACTATTGTATAACTCGGGTGAGATTCGACCCGGACCTTACCATTAGAGGATTAAAAAAATTTGTTTAAATTGGTTCTATCAATCAACTGTGTTTTGAAGTACAGTTAAAATAAAACATCTAAAATAATGAGTTATCGGAAATAAAATTGAGAAAAAATTAGGAGTGCAAAGGGTTAATGTATACTAGTGTTTCATTTTCCCAGGAATACCTTCTTCGTGATAATCTATTTAAATAAAGAACTGTCTTATCTTCCACTTGGTTGGTGATAATTAAGTAAGTAAGCACATTAACTGAAAATTCAACATAATAATATAATTTTCCCTGTTTAACAAATTTAAACCCTCTGTTTTCTTTTGATTAGTAGGAGCTGACCCCCAGGTTTACCTCCTCTTTTATCGTGTTTCGTGCTTGAACCGATTAGTGTGCTGTGGTTTTATAAAAAAAAAAATATTACACAAAAGAAAGTTTATGTGGGGTTTGCACGAGCTTGTAATTAAAGTTCGAGATGTGGTGGAATCTGTCCTCGTTTTAGGAGTTCATTGCAGTTGAAAGGATAACCTTGATCGGTCAGTTGATTCCCAGCCGGCTATATCCCACTTTATCTTCGGGCTGTCGATAAAAATTTTGGCAGATGTGCAAAAACATTGGACACACTGTTTATTGGCCGGTCGACCCCGCCCTAACAGTTACGTAACGAGTACTTTACTCCAGACCTGGACATTAATTAAAAAGAACGGAACTTTGACTCGACTACTAAGTTTGTAAATTGTCTTATTTAATTTTAAATGATCTTCGGGTGATTCGTTATACAAGAATTATTTTCTTCTTTTACAAATTCAGTTTAATCCTTGAAAGCATTCCTGAAATAATTTCGTCTAATAATATTTGCGAAATACAAGGTAGCAACGTTACGTGCTGAAGATCCTTGATAAATTCATGTTTCTACAGCATAATATTCAACAACATACTATTCTACAGTTAAAATTCCAACTACAAACGATTCTATGTAAAATGATACATTTAAACGAAAATTATTCTCACATAAATAATTTATTGCTATTCTGCCGTGTAATATAACGGTACTATGATTAAACTTCGGTGTTATAAATTTCTTATTTAATAACGATAATTACAACAGGAAGTATAATATCAAAATTTAATATTACCCTGTTGTAGAATATACTGAAACTGTAATTAAAACTTGAAGTTATTAATTACTTCGTTTTAAGTGGTGTAATTTAAGCGAATAAATATTCCAATAATGTGTTATTAATTTATCGTGTAATGCACAACACACTACGCATGAGACGATCAAAAAAATAATTCTAAATAAAAGAATATTTACAAACGATTTACTCCATTATCCGATGATAAATATATCTATTCGAAGGATTTCCCATCTACAACCAATAAAGTACCCATGAAAGTATTATATCAAGCCAGGAGAACATAAAAGAAAAATTTACTTTTAAAACAATTCTATATATACGACACACATTCATAAGTATTTGCCCATTAAGTTTACTAAAAAATATTCCAATTTTTCCAAAGGAATCACGTTCCTTCACAATCACAACGATAAAACGAATACATTGGTTGATAATCCCCAAAATGAAATATAAAACGAAGCTTGCCAAATCTTTCTTCGATGAGAGATCAAACACATACGACTGGTACTGTACGTAATAATATAACGAACAAGACCAACGTTCGTTCCAGATATTCAAATTTCCGCGTTGAAAAATATTTCCGCCACAGAAACTCGCTATTCATTCTACCATCCTTCATCATATAATTTCAACTACCCTATGCACAGGTCTGATCTGCACCATCGTTCCAACAAAATCCTCGTCACGTTAATTCTCTCATGTCCACTGTTCAACCGAATCGCTATTTAACCAGCTGTATAGAACCAAAAAAAAAAAAAGGAAAAAAAAACGTGAAACGATAGTCTCGACTGGCGAAACGATAAAACCGTAGGGAGATGTGTGGGAGGAAAGATTCCACCAATCGACAAGATTTAAACTTTCACCCAAAACTTACATACATACCATTAAGCACGTGCACCAAGACGGTCTTCGTGTTAGCGTTGCTCGGATGGCAGGTATACTGTCCGCTATCTGCAGGCTGGGCACGCTGCACCAGAAGATACGAGGTTGTAACTTCTCCTTTCTCCGTGATCACTGATACACCGCCCCTCGGACTGTCGTAGTTGATCATCTGTATCGGGGGCAAAGATCAGACGTACAGAGACAGAGACACAAGAAAAACAAGGTCAGCACAACGAAAATTCGTCAGTAGTGGGGACCATGTAGAACAAGGTTTGGTGAAGGGGCAGGGGAGGGGGTGGTGGTGAGGGATGGACGACGAAGGTTCGAGCGAATTCTCGTCCGGCTGCTCGTTAGGCGAAAAACAGAGCTGGATCTCATTTTCCCCCGGCCGAAACGAATTTATTTCGCCGGGACCAGAAACCGAATTGCCCGGAAATTCGCTTATCCGCGGTTAAATGGAATCTCCGTACCCACGCCTCCAGTCCACCACCCCTTCTGGACCAGGAACGCGAAATTTGTCAGGGGACCAACGGTAAATATTCGTACCTCGAGCGAAAAGAAACAGGAAAAAAAGTTACAGGCTTGAGAAGAGGAAAACAAAACAGCCAAAGGGACACACCGGTTAGAAGGAGGGTAAAGCGAACGGGGAATACACACCCCTACCCCGTTCCATCCTCCAGCTCCCTTGTGTGTGTACGACCCTTAGGAAAATTGCATTTCCAGGCGGTGAAAGGTGGAACGATTATATCTCGTCCTGAGTTGTCTCCCGTTCTCGCCAATGGTGTTTTCGCGAGGAAATAAAATTATACCAACCACCCTCCTCCCCCTTCCATGCCATTCCAACTGTCCTTCGTGGTGGAATCGAAGCGTTTTAATGAAACGGGCCGTAGGAGGGGCAGCAGTGTGTGTCCACGGCGTTCGAACGGAATTGTTAACAAGCCACCGAGCCCTCATTACCATAAACCTTACCGAACGGAATCAGCCCCTCCCCCTGGGGGATGCGAACGATTACAATTTACGGTGGGCCGGTAACGCGTGCCAGTCGATCGGTTATAAATCCCACCCACTCTCCCACCCCCGGTGGTGCCCATTTAATAAATCCTTCGTAGCCGACGCAATCGACGGGAATCTCGATATTTCCGCGTCAACGGGCGCGAACGAAACTTATTATCAATTTATTGAAACGAATTACTGTTTCGAGAGGGCAGGCAGCGGAAACATCGCGAGCATCGACCGGTCCCGTGGATTCGATTGGTTGGCGGGAAGAGGGAGGGTGTGGGGGCCAATGGGAAAGGAGTAAACAGGCGTCGACACGGGGGTGAATTTACGCGTGACCGCGGTGAATTATTGTTTCTTTTTTCGAGGGGACGGGGTTCGTGAATGAAGAACGAGCATCTTGCGAGGTTAGTTTGAATATTAATCGTACCGTGTGGATCTGTAATTAAGCTGTTCAGTGGACCATGTGAGGGATTTGAATTTTTTTCAGATTTTAGCGGTGACAGTACTCGATTAGTTCTTAACGTTTTTATATTTAATATTTAAAATGTTATGATAGTATATTTTTTCAGATCTTTCGCAATTTTTATTACGATATGAAAGTGGAGGAATTAGTTAATTTATGAATTTGTAAATTATCAAAAGTTTGTCATGTTTATCGTCGTGTTAGAAGACAGAAATGAGGCCTGTCTAGTGTTACTTAGGTACACGTAAGGATGACGAGATACGTACATGTAAAGTGTGTAAATTTAAGGATATATGTATAAACGTGATTATGACCAATGTGAAACATTGGTTTACGAAATATTAGGGTGATTCATAAATATTACGTTACTGACACTGAGGAGTGTACCAATAATTATGAACGACTCGAGTACCTGGGTTCGTGGAAGACCGGATGGATTACGGAATTTAATATCAAGTTTTGTTCTACTCTGATTGTACATTTTGCATATTCCGCGATCACGTGATCTACTTTTAAACTAAGTTTCATATAGTACAACTGGAAGGGGTTTGTATGCAAATGCGTAAGTTTGCTGTGTCTCCGTCTTAGCTGGGCTATTGTTACCCGGTGTTTGCAGCTAACATCCAGTTTATCATACGAAATTCACAGAAAGTAATTCCGAAGATGGACAATCTATATAGCGGCAGACGGAAGTGTATTAACGGTGTATGCAAATGTATGAGAATCAATGAGAACTCAACGAAAATCAGATTTCGTATCATTTCCAACGTAATAAATATTAAACAACAGAAATTTGATCTATAAGCACAGATTTTGTGCAATAATCCTTGACAATAGGAATTTATAGATATATACACAATTTAATTATGAAGTTCTTTTGTTATTACAATAATGTGGCTCTTGTGTCCAGAAACAATAAAAATGATTTTTAACATATTTTCAGCTGCGTTTTGGAAACAAGTAACATAAAATATAACTTCGAACAGCACGAAGTTGTGAAGACTGAAACGCGAGATGGAGTTTACCGTAAACCACGATGAAATCGTAGAAATAACCGGGGTTTTTTAATTAAACGAAGCCACGGAGTACTTTCGAAACACGAATAAAAAATATCGTAAACAAACATTGTTCGAGGGAGTTGAAGCTGAAACGCCGGAAGACCGAAGGCCCGTTTCACAAAGTAACAATGACCGATTTACATACGCCTCCATTTGCAATTTTTCCACTTTTTAGTTCTTTATCCGCCACTTGTTACTGGCGAACGCAACCTGACAGAATATTAACAAGTAATGGGATTGTTGTAATCTCTATTCTTCAGTGCACACTTCGGAACACATATTTTATTGTCCTAAATACGATTTCGCAATATATAAACAATGAATAAAATTTCTTTCATGTTCCAGTATAAATGTTTAGTAGAATAATACGGGAAAATCGCGTTTCCATCCACTGAAAGTTTCTAAATATCACTTTATTAATCCTTTGAGTGCTTTGAGCGCACATGTGCGTCCAACGAGCAACGCTGGAATGGATTACGGATGAGAATACTCACTTCTATGTAACGAAGGGCTCGAAGCGGAGACTTAAGAGATAAAACCACTCTAGCGATCCGAAAACATAGCATCACTTTCACCATTTTTTCTAGATAAATAATGAAATAAATGAAAATACTGACCAAAGGCCTTTATTGTACACATTTTATGGAGTATGAAATTATTTTTCTGTATTTAAATGCTGTACAGATAAAGCTTTTTTTGGCGGAAGTAAATTTAAACCTACAACAAAAAACCTAAATTTTGTTATGATCTACATGACATTGACTACACAAATACGTACGGATATTTTAAAATATTGCCTTTTATAGAAAGGTGGACATTTCAAAAAAGTGTTTCATTTTCAGGAAAGAAATTTCGTGAAAAAATGTTAACAATAAAAGAAGTTTTTAACAAATTGGAAAATTCGTAGGTACTTCTGCAGCCAGTATTATATAGATCATAAAAAAAATTTTGATTGTTTTCCTGGTCCAAATCTACGGTACTTATGCTGCAAGACCCAGAGTACCTCCCTAAAACAAGTTTTTTTGTAGGGCTCCAGAACTAAACATTTATTTTATGTACAATAAAACCTTCCATTTATTTTATTATTTATCTATAAAAAATTGTTAAAGTGACACTATGTTTTCGCATTGCTACATTGGTTTTGTCAGAAGGAATTATAGGCAGATTTTCATCATCGACTGTCAACCACAGTAATTATTCAGTATCGACGTACCTGCATACTCGAATTTATATATTTACCTTACTTTAATGATATGTCGACACACGTATTTAGTGGTGTTATATTATAACTCTTTCCGTGTTTATAAATATTGTTTGCCGCACGGTATTTGGTTTCTGTTAAAGTTTGATATAAACCGACAGACAGGAGTTTGCGAGGTCGACGGTGGATACACGAGGAGTATACAGTAACACGATCTATGCTCCCTAGCAAGTAGAAATATCGAATAATAGTCAGACATGGTATCGAACGCACTCTGAAACGTGAGTAACCAACGAGTTTTCGAACTTCTAGTTTCCGAAAGCAAAATCGTGTATCAAAAAATTTTATCGAATAGTTCTGACTTATTTTGTTTTCAGAAAGAATTGCACTACCACTTACAGAACACCCTGCATTTAAGTCTGTATTTCTATTCCTTATTGAGTCTATGTACAAACCCCGTAGATTCACTTATCGGTACATCTAGTACATTCGAAATTTTTCTCAAATCAGTGTATTTATACAATAAAGTATTTTCTTTTTTTTCTTATGAATCAAATCAGATGTTCGCGGGATAGTGTTCGCCCGTTTTATTAATTACGTGCGGCCTGGTTCAACACTTTCGGTCGGCCGCCTGTGAAGCCAGATAATGAACGGCGCACGAATGGCGGGGCGAGCTTTTTGAAAACAATGAGATGCCTTGATAAAGCGATTCCGCTTAAATCGTACCATTCGAGTGGTTCGAAACTACATTTGAATCTCGATTATGCTGTTCGTGAATCGGCGGCCCGCGATCTCCGAGCGATTCCCCTCGGATATATTTTTAACGAATATTTGTTTTCTCAATTTTTCTTCATTTTTTTTTTATGTTCATGCTCCCGAGCATGCTACAGCAATTTATTAAATTAATCGATATATCAGCGTGCAAATGTTCGTCGACGACCCAATTCCCCAAGAATTTTGCGATATCGATTCCCTAAAAATCAAGAGGAAGGGGTCGAAAAAAAAGGAAACGCATCGCGATTACGAGGGGCGAACGTTGCTTAATTGCGACGGTTTCGAGGGTCCTCTGGCTCCAGATAGTAAATAAAAATACACGGTGGTTTAACGTGAATTTTTTACCGCGATATTTAATGAATAGAATGATCCTTAATTAATATGGTTTAATATTAGGAAACCTTTTGGCTGGGAATAAATTAGCTTACGTTAAATTACGAAATATAGTTTTTTTCAAAAATGTCGACGCATTTTTTGGATAGTCTGTGCATGAAACGTTCTCCTGAAGTTTAAAAATGAAGAAGGGGTAGTAGATCGATACGCGGTTACGTAGCAATGTCCGCTTTGAGAAAAAGTGGACAGAATTAATCATTAAACCTAATAATTTTTTCACAGAATTCTTTTACCGTCTCGTCCTGAATAATTAAAAAAAAATGTTCGACTCTGAATGAAAG